TTTCCGAAAATTTCCTCAGAAATTTCCTCTTGTGATGAAATAATTTCGCGGCGCAGTGACAAATTCTCACCCAGCGTTGGAGTACGAATATATGTTCGATTTCCTCAGCTGCTGAACTCAGGAGTTTCTTCACTAATTATAAAATTCGGGTAGAAGTTTACAGATACTAAAAAAATGCCCAAAATTTCCTCGGAATTTTCACAAATTTGCATATCTTGCCACATTTATTTCTCGCATAATCATTGAAGTTTTACGACCGCGATTATCGCGGCGCGATATGACACTTCATATCGCCGCGAAAATCGTGTTTTTCACTTCACGTAAAACAGGTAAAACTTTATTTTTCAGATTGACCCAGCAGGCGAACAAACACCACAGCAACGTGTTGAACTTCTCGATGAGCTTGTGGACTTCGTCTCGCAAATTGATAACGCGATAAATCTCAACAAAATTGGAGGTTTTCGACCACTTTTCCACCTCTTTATCGGGGATGAAAAAAACGCAACTATTGAGGTAAAGAAATTTATGAAATATTTTTTTGATTTTCTGTTTCAGGAAAGATCAATAGCAGGATTGGTTTTGGGAACTGCATTAAGCAATAACGAAATCGTACAGGCCACACTTCTGGAAGAGTTTCCAAACGCATTGGACAAAATGTAAAATATTTTCGAAATTTTTCATCATGAATTTTTCGCAGATTCGGAATGCTATATGATACAACTGCTGATAATCAAACTACATTATCGAAAAAAACAGCATTTTGCCTCTCAGCGTTGCTCAGGAACAACTTGGACTTGCAGGAAACCGCAGGAAAAGACGGAAGATTTAAACGATTGCTGAGTTACTTTGGTGAGAACATTTCGTTTCGTGTAAATTTTTTATATTTTTCCAAGTGTTTATTTTTACATCTTTGAAATTTCGATTCATAATTTACAAAAATCACAACTATAAAAAATACTACCGAAAAAACATTTCACAATTTTTTTCGCGGAGAAAATTCTGTTTTCGGTTGCGAAGAGATAAATGCCTTATAATTCGCTTGGTGTATTACACCAATTCACGTTAAACGGGTGAAACTCTATTATAATAGAGTTTCGTCGTGATATGAAAAATACTAGTGGAAAACATAATCTTTTCGGGAAACAATTACGTAATCGATATTCATCCTATAATTTACATGGTGTATTACACCACTTCACGTTAAACGGTGGAGCTCCAACGTTGCAATATGTGTTTGATTTCCTCGACTGAGTTCAGAAGTGTAGAGAAACCCCCAAAAAATCCCCAAAATTTCCTCAGAAATTTCCTATTTTCACCAACACGTATTTTACGGCACCCCTTAGGTGAGTATGTTCCTCCAGTAGCATCCAAGGTGGCGACTTTGACAACTACGATCATACAACAACAGCAGGCTGGAGGAGTTCATAACAGCGCAACGCTCATTGAGTGGTTCGGCAGGGAAGAGGTAGCGATTTATATCCACTTTATTTCAATGGAGTTTTACGTGAAGTGGTGTAATACTCCATGTAAAAAACGCGATATAAAGTGAATTGAAAGCTCTTTGCGAATTACAGCGGACAGATGACCCCATATCACACGCTGTTCACTGCTCGCATGCGGAGCGAAACGTGTTTTTCATATCACCGGTGAAATCTCAGTGTTGGAGGAATATATGTTTGCTTTCCTCAGCTTAGCTCAGGAGTTGTAAAAATGTACAGAAACCAACACTGGAGTTTCACCCGTGATATTAAAAACACTAGAGAAAAACGTGTTTCACAACTACTGCGTATCACCGCGAATATCGCGCTTTTCACAGAGTATTACGCCACTTCACGTAAAACAGGTGAAACTCCAGCAATCTCTCAAAATTTCTCATGTTGTTGACCATGTGCATACTTCCCCACACTGTTATTCGCACAGGTTTTGATGGTAAAAAATATCGCCGAGAAAACCATTTTCGAGGAGAATTACTCGTTGGACGAAGCCTTGCATGTTATCGAGTTCCTCGACGTCGCTGCGGCGATCATCAACGACAAGGATCTCAGCTCAGGTCAGATTGCGCAGTTTCACACGTATGTTCTGGGTTGAATTGAACTCCTATGCTTTCAAATAGATGGGGTATGACATGAATGTTCTTTGTATTTTATCGAAATTTTTGGGGAAATTTTAAAGAAAAAGGTAAAAAATCACCAGAACAGCTGAGTAATTGACAAAATGCGTGGAATATTCTCAAAATGGAAAAATATCTACAAAATGCCTAAGATGTTAACAAAATGGACGAGAAACAACGAAATGAGTAAAATATGGACAAAATTTATGATTTTTTTCATCAAAACTGAAGAACTATCAACCGAATCAATAAAATGGGCAAAAAAACTTTCTTAAAAAAATTAATTTGACCTGAAAATGCGGTAGTGTTGTTTCTTTTGCTGCATTCTGCAGCGTATGAAAATACGCACATGTTCAAGTACATGTGTTGGTAAAAATATGGAAATTGTTGGGAAATTTTGGGAAAATCGCTGGTTTCGTAATACGAAATTCGTATACTTATACCCAAAATCGTGTGTGTAGATTTTCACAATGTATTGGGGAAACTCACGGATTCAGTTGAGGAAAGCAAACATATATGCTCACACTGGTACTCTGCAGACATTTCGAAGCTTCATGAGGAGTGGAAACAGTCGTGTATTGAAAGCCTTGGTTCTGATGAAGCATTGTGCTCCCATTTTCATACCGGAAATTCAGAGCTTCAGCGCGGGAAGGAGGAAGAGCTGTAGTCATTAGTTTCTTGTGAATAATTGAGTCAATGTTGATAAATTAACAGATACTAAATGCAATGAAGTTTCACCCGTTAAACAGTAAGCCTGCTAGAGGCTCTAGCAGGCTTACTGTGACGAGCCAGGAGACTTCGCCTGCGGGTGGCATCGTTGAAGGCGACGATGGTCGTACTGTTCTCAGTAGATCGATCGAACCATGGTATGCCGGCCGGGGAGGAGGCCTCTCGGCATCCCTCGAGTTTGGCTGACCTCAGTCAACTTCTATCGAAATGTGGGGCCGAGATTGTACAGCTGCGAAGCATTATCTTCAACCGGTGAAAATCGGCTTCGTCTCAGAGCCCTTGTGTCTGCATTATGAGTTTTCTCGCTGCTCAACCTACTTTCGAAGAATTCTCTGCTTTCGCAACGAGCATAGTTTCGAAGAACTTCGTCTCGACCGGTATACCCTTACACCACGATAAAGAAGATAAAACAAAAGATACAGTTTTTCGCTACGGTTGAGTTCAACGAACGAGTTGCCTATGACAACTTGCACGCCGGTTAGGACAACTCTGGTGTAAAGAGCACAGGGATTCGGTCCACATCACTGTGCTGAGATCCTCAACTGACAGGTGTCTGTCACTACGACAGATATCAGGGTGAGCCACTCACCATATTCACATATAGTGCAACCATACCCACTATACTAAATCAGAAGTATTCATTACATTCACACGCTTCGTCCGACTACACGGTGTAGTCTACACCAAATTTGTTGGCCAGATTCAGTGTAAAGCGCGGCGCATGCCGGGTGAGACGTCGCAGGTTTTGCGTCTTAAGGTAGTGTAGCAAGATGTTACGTACGGTTAGTCACTTGACAGAACGCGACAAGCGACCTGGACAGAGCCTGTAAATCTCTAAGGACCCAAAAAGTTGTACGCTATCGATAAGGAGGTCTCGATGGCGCATACATCATGCCTCGACTGAGACAAGCAAAGTGACTTCACAATCGGCTCGATGATATGACCAGCTGAATGTAACTCTTGGTATGGGCAGATGCATGCTCAGTATATTCCAAGGAAACGTATACACTCTAGACCCATAAAAGATGATTATATATCCATCCTCTCGAATGAAACTTCTGATGAAACGCGCCGATGTAATTGGGAAAAAGTAATAATCATTCATCCACGGGTGGATGTTGAATAAAGGATTTATGATGAAGCATCTAATGGGACTAAGGACGATGCTAGAAGGAATGTTACAGTAGACTCTCCTCAACGAGAAGGCATCTTATCCCCTCCAAGCTAACGGTGCCAGAATTACGACTCATACTTATTCAGGGTAATCTTCTCCTCCCCTTCAGGCCCCTGAACCATAACATAGACTCTATCAGCTGCTTTGCTGTAGGTGAACTTTTTGAAATCGGGGTCACTTGCTGGCGTGCGGCCGCATTCCTTGTTGTAGAAGGTTAAAAGTTGGTTATACTTATCTAGAGGGGGTTTGATTGTATATTTGTCCCCCTCGATCTCGAGTTTGAACCACGCTTCGAACCTTTTACGGGTAGCACCGCATACGATACTGAAGTGAAGGCTTAGAGGATCGCGCTTCCCGGTAAATTCTGCATCTATTCGAAGATAACTAGGCTTCGACTCTTTCCCGAGGTAGTGTCCGTGGGGAGGTCCGGCGGACACTGATAACACCGAAATCACCAGGACCAAGATCACCAACTTGCAGTTCGATCTATACATGGATGGAAAGGACGAGATGAAAAGTTACTACACATGATACTCAATTCGATGCTTTTAGTGTAGAGTTTTCTAGATCAAGCCAATCACCACTGGTGCACAATCCAACAGTGCCATCGCCGCTAGATGATGACTTAGTGACCAGAAGATGCTTATATTCCGATAAGCTCTGTTTCTCGGTCACCAAGAATCGGTGTAAAACGTGCGTGATCTCGCCTAGCGATGTACTTGCGTGCATCTCTCGTATCACGTGCCGTGGACCCGGATAGGGCTACGTGTTTAGCCCTATCTCGGGTGCTCTAGGTTCCCTGAGGTTGTTGGACTCTAGGTCCTCAACAGAATTGTTTCGTTGACCCGTCTTTCGTCCTCTGCTTGGGCGTGCGCTCGGGTCTCGATAGGAGCGGCTTCTGCACAAACCTTTCGAGTTTCCCTTGCACTATGGTCAGTGTTGTATTCGGGACAGTTATGCGCTCCCGCGCCAGCATTGCCCGTCTCCTTAACTGACCCACATGTCGATGGTATTGTGCCCTTCTGCGGAGCATCCTTACTGGGTTGTGTTAGAAGTTTGTTGAACAAGTCCAACTTTTCAGCTGCCAAGGCCTGGTACCTATCTTGTGCACCTTCGTCTGCGGAGTGTTCCCTTTTCACCAGGTCAATGCCCGCCTTTACAGGGCAGAACATTTGCTCGCCGCAACGGTTTCACGTTTTCGTCTTGGGTTGATATGTGTCAGTAGTAACACCCGCACTGGTTGACTCAACAACATTTGGGATAGTCATAATAGGTGATAAGGCTCCTTATCTTACCCTTTTCATGATTAACGGAATGAGTTAACGAATCTAGTGTCTGTGAAATCCCAGGAAGGAGGTATCATCACGCGCACGCCCATACCAACACAACGCACTCTAAAGATTGTGACACAATTGTGTAACGCTAAAGCACCTTAGCGAATTATGAATAAGAAAGCGATCACTATAATAGAAGTTCTATTATAGAATTGTAGTTCGCAATAGTAGTACGGCTCTTAATGAGAGCTGAGCTACTTGCGAACATGACCGTGGGTATCGGTCTACAAGGGGATTCTGAAATTTTAACCCACCCACTACCAACCCTGAGTACGGCGATGTCAATCGCCAGTGACGTATAGGTGGTATACTACCAGAACGCCTGTAGTACTGTACTACTAGTACAGGCTTTTCACTCGATGACCATAAATGGCCCGATTGGACGGTTAGATAGACTATCCAACATGATGTCGATCATTTTAACCCATTTTATTTGACATCATGTGATTAGGATTAGGCGGCGAAGGGCCCTACATTCACAAACTATGGTCACACAAGTGAGTATTATCTGCTAGTTTGACCATCCAAGACCTACAGCGGCCTGGAACTCACTGGCGCTATGACATGGAAAACCTAAACTAACTCGCCACAGAGTCACAAGGCTCTATGGCAAGTACTGCATATTGATATCGTCTCCTATGGCCCGATACATTTTTTGACAATCATCGATGCCTTCAGTAAGTTTTTGGTATGGGAAAATCTTCCCTCTATGACGTCGTACTGGGTGGCTTCGATGTTGATGCGGTGCTTTATTAAATTGGAACCTCCTGGGACAATTATAGCCGATAATGCGAGGAATCTCAGTGGCACAGAGGTCAGGAAGACCTTACAAGATTTTGGAGTGACATTGAGGAGAAGTTCGGAGTACTATCCAAAGGGTAACTCCATAGCTGAACGGGTTCATTGCACCTTGCATCAGCTGGCAAGAGC